AACATGTAAAAACTTCAAATATACCACTATAGGGAACATGTCAGCAACCAGTTAATGAGATTTGATCATTAAAATCCAATAGAATTTTAGACTGATTCACTGCATGAGAAACCTTGAAATATTATAGTTCACTGATAAAAGAAACTTGGAAGGCACTGTCCAAAAGTTGACACCCGGGTGGGGATACAGCTCAGCAGCACGGTGCCTTCTTGGCAGGCCTAGGGGCCTCAGTTCGATTCCCCATGCAAAGAAAAAAAGGTTGGCAACAATCCTGACTTTCATATGTGAGCAGTAGAAAGGAAGGAGCAGGGTTTGGAAACAGTAAGTCAGGACTCAAGGTAAATCACAGTTACCTGACATTAGGATGATAGCTGGAATAACAGTTGGCTGTTTTGTTGTCCACAAATTCAGTTTGAAATACAAACGGAATACCTAACTAGAACTCAGTAGACAGGTTAGGCTTAGAAATACAGGCCTGCAACTTACTTAATGCTAAACAGAGGTGGCGGGCAGATGAGATGGGGGAGAGACAGACAGCGTGGGGCACTGGGAAGACAGCACGGCCAAGGGCTGGAAGACAGGAGTGCCTTTAGCCTTTAACAATGTCACAAAACACCAAAAGGCAAGCAGAAAAGTAAAGGAGTGCGCGGCACCTCAGAGAGATCATTCTGGAAAAGGAAGTCAGAAGCATCACGGCTTGGCAAACGAGCCCTGACCCCATGCAAGCCACAGTAAAACTAAAACTGACTCCTCTGTGCCTGCCCCGCCACCCACCGGCCTGTCCCCACCTGCAAACAGCCCGGCCAGGTGGAGATGGAAAGCCAAAGCCCCCAGGGCTGGCAGGAGCACAGTGGAGAGGAACACGTCGGCGGGGAGGTGACGAACAGGCAGCCGAGGCGTCTGCAAGAAGGCAGCTCCCGGGGTACAGAGGGGCCGCTTTAATTTTAATATAAGCACACTGAGGGGAGACCTAGTGTTTTTAAGTCTGAGCCTGTTTATATACAGACCCCAATTTATACTTCTGCGTCAAAATTTTACCGTCATAGGGGTTAATCTCAAAAAAGAATCTGAAAATTATTGCTAAATTTCCTGTATTGAGTTTCCAGTGTACCAAATTTAAAAGTGAAATGTATTTTGTGCAAGAGGAATGGTTCAATTTCTAAGACTTTCTAATACTTCTGTCAAACAGTGAAGTACAATTTTCTCAGCAAGGGATGAATTGTATGCAGAGCATGAGATATTCAAGTGCACAGACGATACCACCAATAAATATAACCATCAGACTGTAGCATATTCACAAAGTAGCAGATGTAATGACTTTTAAAAACATTTGTATTCATCGGGGCTGGGGATTTAGCTCAGCGGCATAAGCGCCTGCCTTGCAAGCAGGCAGTCGCAAGTTCGATCCCCAGTACCGATAAAAAAGAAAAAGACAAAAAAAAAAAAAAAATTTTTTTTAATTAAAAAAAAAAAAATTTCTATTCATCTATAGAGCCCTAAATTACCCACAAATAAATCAACTACAGATAGGTTGATAAGAAGGATAATAAGGATAGGAAGTCAACCTGGCATTTCTAGTGATACCAAAGTGTAGAAAAATTGACATTATATGACATCAATATTAATACTGGCTTCACCAACACTCAGGTTGTTACAGAAGGTAACTGGATAACCAAGAAAGAACAGACAGGTAAACACCAGCGACTTCTTCGATAGCATTGGCTTAATTTCAGTAAGCTGCTAGTTACAAAAAAAAAAAAAAGAACCTTGTAAAATCTTTCAAAATGCTGATAGTTTTTTCATTTTGTTCATTTGTGGCAGTATCAGGGATTGAACCCAGGGGCACTCTATCACTGAGCTAAAGTCACAGCGCTTTTAATTTTTATTTTTATTTTGAGAACAGGTCTCACCAAATTGCCTAGGCTAGCCTTGACATTGTAATCTCCCTGCCTCAGCCTCCCAGGTAGCTGAGATGTCAGGTATACATTATTATTATTGGTTTTTGCTTTTGTCCTTAAATAGTTAGAAAAAACCAGACTGTTAATCCTTGGTAACAAAACTGACCTGTTTTGTACAAACTATTGCATTCCTTTATGCTAATATTACAGCTAACAGAAGAATAATAATTATTGCTTAGAGAAGCCAAAATATGTTATATCCATCACAATGAGATTTAAAAAAATACACTTTGGATACTGGAACCTCTGAGTTCAAGTACAATAAAATACCACTATATAGCTGTTTCATTAGAACTACTGTTGGCAAGTGTGAAGCCCTAAGTTCGATTCCAAGTACCGCCCCCCACCAAAAAAAAAAAAAAAGTACTACTACTGGGCCGGGGATGTAGCTCATTTGACTAACATCTTCACAAAAAAAAAAAAATTTTTTTTAAATAATTCTTTAAGGTGCTTGTATCTCTTGTAATTCTCACCAATAAGCAAGCTGGCCCTCATCAGACATGGAACCTGTCATTAGTTTGATCTTGGACTTTCCATCCAAGAGATAGAAATTGGTTCCTGTTGCTTATAAACCGCTAAGTCATGGAATTTTGTTACAGCAGCCTGAAGCGACTGAGAGGTCAAGATCTCTCTGTGGCTTACAATATACGCATCCCCAGGTCACTATGCACATGAGAGTACAACAGAAGTTCATGATGGGAATTACTCAGCGGCTCTAACAAGGATTTTACTCTAGGCTGGCCAACGGCTAAATCAATAAACAGATATGTCTGTATAATATAATGTAATTATCTCATAAGGTATAAAATTATCCACTTCTCAATGTTCTCTCCTCAATCTGTATCAGTGATGGTGAAGCTTTTAGTCATATAGTGACACATTTGCTTCTGCAGGTGTGCCATAGGTTCGCCACCACTGATGTGTAGTGTCCTTCAGGCAGTGACTTAAGAGGACACTACAAAGAGACCAGACATTGCATGTGGTCACCTCCAGGCTATTAACAGAGAGGAGGATACAGGGCTCCGATTTCCCAGTTCAGGCCATTATGGCCAAAGCAGACCGTAAGAGCATACCCAAGAATTATCCACAAAACCAACAGTAAACTAGGGGTTCATATGTACATCTGAAGACAAATGGCTGTATTTTTATTTTAAATTGCTTTCTACAGAACATTAAAAGTATTCCCACAGAGCGTTAAAACAAAGGAATGCAAGTTCTCTGACCATAGGGTGCCAATAGTCTCGGAAGCATAGAATTCCTAATATTTTTAAGAGAAAAGAAACAAAGCATCAATGTCACTGCAGAGCCCGCAACAATAATAAAGGTCTAAAAAATCTGGAGATATTTGCAAGGTTGTTAAGACAGACCATTAGAAAAACCTGTGATCGAACATTTAACATCAGCAAAGTGCTTGACCAAAATGGCAACTTCAGACAGGCCAGGAAAGCTTAAAAAATAAACAGGGTTTTAGTGTAAATGTTTGCTTTGAATTTTATGACAGCATTTCATTAGATGAAGTCTTCACAGTGCTTTCAGAAATAGTGCTTAAAACTTTAGCACTGTACTACTCAGCACATTAAATGTAAAGTGCCCTATTTCATAACAGGAATACAGAAAGACATAGACTTTAGTTATTTTACCTGGAAAGATCTCTTAATGAAAAAGCTCTATATTGTTTTAATTTATGATAATTTCTCTCCTCCCTTACACTAAACGGTTCTTAGTACAATTTTCTCAACAACAGAACAGATCGGTTTTTTCCTATGGTCCCAACTTTCTACAATACAAGTATTATAATCTCCTTGCTAATAGCCACCACTGTCCAAGTGTCTCCTAGGTACCGCAACCCTTGCCACTGGTTTTATGTGCATTATCATTTCATCTTCCAAACAAATTCCCAAGAAAAAAATCAGCTGAGTAGGTCACTGAGCTGGAAGGCAGCAGGATCTGGAAATGAACTCAAATACGACCGTCTCCCTGGCCACGGGGAGTTTGTTTAGAACCCCAGCAGACACCTGAAACCACAGATGGTACCAAGCCAGTATCTACTTTGGTTTTTTTCTTTATCTATGGTAAAGTTTAATTTAGGTTTTTTTTTGTTTTTTTTTTTTTTTTTGTCTTTTTCCTTTTCATCGGTACCAGGGATCGAACTCACGACTGCCTGCTTATAAGGCAGGCGCTTATGCCACTGAGCTAAATCCCCAGCCCCCAAAGTTTAATTTATAAACTAGACACAGTAAAAAAATCAACAAAGACATAATAAATAGCGCCACATAGCAACAGGTCACTGAGGTTACTCAAATGCGGGGTCTCTCCCTTCCATTCTCAATTCGTCTGAAATGCCTCACCGCGCTGGCCTCCCCTTTCAGACCACGGTGGACAACAGGTTAACTCAAAGCGACGGGAAGGTGAGCTCAGACGGGGGAACGATCGTGCACCGGAGACATTTCTGGTCACTGTGTTGGTACTAACCTAAACATGCATTCGTTCAAGTCTTGGGAGCATCAGAACGGGCTGAAGCATCACGCAAATTTAACAGTGGTTTGCAGTCCCGTCATACTTGATTTCATAGAAATGCACAAATGTGAGAACAGTTCCTAGAAGGGGTATGAATCACACACCTTTGCTCTGACACTATCTTTTGGAAAGTATGATTTATGACCTCTGGGGGAGTGTGAAAAGCTATGGCCCTTCTTCCCACAGAGGTCCCCACTCAAAATTTTACATTGTTTTAGAAGCTTTGGACCCTAGAGCCTACTTACACATTTCAGTTCAAAGAATACAAACCGGGGCTGGGGGTTTAGCTCAGCGGCATAAGCACCTGCCTTGAAAGCAGGCAGTCGTGAGTTCGATCCCCAGTACCGATAAAAAGGAAAAAAAAAAAGAATACAGACCCAACCAATGGAGAAATCTTTGGGACTTGTTTAAACGTCAGCATGACTTCCATCGTGTATATGATACTAATTTAACACTTCTGATAAACCCTCTGCCAAGCACGGAAGGCAGGAAGGGACGTTTAAATGCCACCATGAACAGGCTTACCGTTTTCCTGCACAGTTCTTGTCATGCAGGCCACCAATCTTGTTTATGGCAGACCAGGCCGTGAGTGCCACATATGGCAAAGACGCAGCTTGGGTATGAGAGAGTGATTTGGGCTTGTGAGAAACCTGAATTTGAAGACAATAATCACAAATAAACAGGGACTTGCAAGTCTATCACCTTAATTAAGCACATCTACCTCCTTAGCAATTCTGCTATTTTCTGAGATACATCTATTAAAAATCGTCCAGATTCAGTGTTTACCACACACTTTATTCCAAGATTATCCCGAAGGATTATTCTCCAAGCAGCTCTCTACCCCCTCACAAAGGTTCAGTAATGTTTTGCAGCATACATTATTCAATTTAGCTATTTCACCATTTATAAAAAGCCCACATGCAATAATCTCATTAGCCCTAATTATATCTAAAAATAAAACCATGAAACCTTGAATCCTCAAACACACTCTAATTTGTTCGAGGGATCAACTACTTCCTTTGCTTGCCTTTTCTGAAAAGGGATTTTTTAGGCTTTCTCCAACCTCAGTGACACGTCTGGCCCTTTCCTGCTTCCCTTGTGCAGCCAACTCCCTCAACGTTAACCTCTTCCTTTCTATTCAAATGTGTACCTAATCATACTGCCTCTTTTTTCCGGTTTAATGCAGTCCAGGCCGGGCTTGAACTCAGTGATTTTCCTGTCTCAGCCTCCTGAGTGCGGGAATTTCAGGCACGTGCTACCGCACACGACCTTGCTGTTGTCTTTAAAATTATTTGAATCAGCGTGACATATCCATGCCACTGCTTAGGATTAATCCATACTCTGCTGGATAGATCTGGTTTCAAATGTTGATACTTGGCAGAAGAACCAAAAAACACAGCAGAGTTCTACATCTCATTCTGAATCTGTTTCACAAGACAAACGTAACTGCTCTCTGGGGGGCAGTGCTATTAAACTCTGTTTAATCAAAATACTGTTTTGATCATTCAACTTTCCCAAGTTAGCTTTTTCAAAAGTGCCCATAAAACATGAACCTCCCTGGAAACACATCCGGTGACTTCAGGGACATTTGTCAGCCTGTTTCCCCCACAGCACTTCAGCAGAGATAGCGAGTTACCTCATTTCCACTGACTACAACAAATTCAGAGAAAGTGCCTTGTTTCCACGGAGGAACCGCAGCCCAGACCTGCAATGCACACAGACGCACAATGTCACTACAGACATACATATTTTTTGACCCAACCAGAGCGTGGAGGTGTCCCCTAACACAAACCCAACAAAGAGCAGCTTTCACATTAGATACATTTGTTAGCGTGGAAGCTAAGACTGACTAAAGAGTTCTATCAAGACTGCAGATCTGCGGCTCGAATCCTGGCTCTACCACTGTTTGCTGTGGATTTTTTTTTTAATAGCTTGGCTTCCTCATCTGTAAAATGGGCCTAGCCCCACCTCTCTCACAGGGATTAGCTTTTTCATAAAAAAGCAACCGGAACTTGCCGTAATTAAGAGCTCAGTACGATCTCCTGGTACAGTGACAAATGACAGAAGATTACACCTAAGTTTAGCTATTTTAAACCAATCTAACACAAAAAATACAAACTGTCATTTAAAGGCTAATTTCAAGGAGAATCAAACAGCTCCAGGCTTACAACAGTAAAGTTTGTGATTTCTAAGCCCTAAATTTAGAAAAGTCAACACAGTCCAGGTTTGTTGGGTTTTATACGTTTTGTTTTGTTTTTTTAGTACTGGGGATTCAACTGAGGAACCACCACGGTTACACCTAGCTCTTTCTATGTTTGCATTTTTTTTTTGTCTTTTTCATTTTTATCGGTACCAAGGATCGAACTCACGACCGCCTGCTTGCAAGGCAGGTGCTTATGCCGCTGAGCTAAATCCCCAGCCCTCTATGTTTGCATTTTGCAACAGTGTCTCGTTTAGTTACCCGGGCTGGCCTTTTAAACTCTTGATCCTCCTACACCAGCATGCCAAGGAGCTTACAGGCATGAACCATCACACCCGGCAGTTATTGTTTAATTGTTTGGGCAAAAAACAGTAACAGCAGAACCAAGGACAGGAAGGTTCCAGCCAAAGGGCTGTACATTTATTGAAAAGAAGATAGTGGTCAATAGAAACCATACTTCCAAAAGAACCGTATTTGTACATTCGGAAATGGAACACAGAATAAAAGATTAAAAGATGAACTCGCCTCATCGCCAGGCTTGAAATACTTCACACTAAGCCCACACTCCATCACCACGCCAGAGACATCCCGGCCCAGAGTCAGAGGAAACTCTTCCCCCTTGGTTTTCATGTGCAAAGGATCACGCTTCATATTTAACGCTGTTGCTCCATAGCCGTCTACAAAACACAATTTATCTGTTTATTCCAAAAGCAAGAAGAGAATGGCTTAAAAATTACACATTACAAGCCAGCAATGTTAAGTCTTAAAACACAGGTTATAAAAGAATTACCTTTATAATTTTTTGCCATTACACACACAAAAAAAATAGAAACATAAAAACAAAGAAAATTACAATTACAAAGAAAATCACAATTACTTGGACAGTCACAATCATTTATTTATATTAAAGCCACCACTGCTCAAAATCCCTCTGTAGTCCCAGCACTCAGGAGGCAGGAGGACTGCTGCAAATTCAAGGCCAGCCTGGGTCACGAAGTGATTTAAAGCCAGTCCGAGTTGCATAGTGAAACTGTCTCAAAAAAGCAAAAAACAAAAACACCTCTCTAAAACTCAAATTTTGAAACTGTCCTCAGAATTTTCAGTATTTTGTAAATTTTGCTCTTCTAAGGTGTCACCTTTAATAATTTATTCATTTCTGAAGTTTTTAAACAACAAAGATACTTGATGCTAAGTCTGGTGAAGAAGACAAACATTGAACCTGTTAAAAGTTAATAAATCAGACGTAGACTTAAAGCACTTGTTTCTGACACTGGTCATTGAAAAGCAGTTCCCATCTCCTAAAAAAAAAAATCTTTCCAGAAAAATGATTTTGGAGAAAGTACAGAGATTCCTGAGTGATAAAACCCACCTGGATGCAACTATTCTGATACAGTCAGGTCAACTGCTTCATTATACGGATCATTTTTAAGAATATTTACAAAAGTATCACCTGAATGCAGCTAACAAACACCATAAGTGCATTTTTATTCAGATAAATTGGCTATTCTATCTGCAGTAATCCAAAGTGGCTTGTTACATAGGTTCGCTATATAAAGTGACTTTCCTGAAACATCACAGAATCACTTATTCTGTCTTCTGCCTGACATGTGTCTGAGACCAGGCCCATGAGCCTCTCCAGACACCTCGCCTGCAGGGTCATGCATCTCCCTGTATGCCCACAACAGCGATAGGGTCTTCCCTTGCCCTCGCCCACTCTGGCAGGCAAGTATGACACAAGGGGACACCCTAGGAGCAATTGCGGTGATATGGTGTGCTTGAGGGACAATGGGAAGGAATCCGAGGAAAACCAACTCTTTCAGACAGTTAACGATGAAGAAAAGCAGGAAAACAGAGGAAACAGTGCTTGGAAAACTTGGAAAACAGTGGCTTTTTTCCAAGAGAGAAAAATAACAGATTTGCAGGTCAACGATAATAATCTGGTAAAAAAGAACACTGGTGATGCAGGACACGGAACGGCCGCGGTGATACCTACAAGTAGGTGAGCAAAGACGGGAAAAAATACAAATAGGGGCTTGGTCTTAGATGAGAGCAGGAGGAGGAGAGAGACACTGCCAAGTGGTAGCTTATAGAAGACGTTTTCCAGTGAAAACCAAGACACATGAGAGAAAGTATTTGAAAATTGCGATAGTGTCAGAAAACGTAAGCTAATGGTTGTCATGCCAACATGATACATTGCCATCTGGTTAGCTAGGACTGCATTTGACAGGGGAAAACAAGTTTATTATATGACACTCACAAAAATTGTATGCTTACTTTTCCTGTCTTACTATTCCTCTTCCGCCACTAAAATATAAACAATTACTCACTGAAACCTTGCGTGGTTTAAGAAGCAGAGGTGGACATTTAGCCATGACAAAGTTTAGCTACAAAAATGTTCCAGCCCTCTCTAAGGAACGCCTAGCAGCTCAAGGTGGTTTTGAAAGTTTTCTTGGTGGCCCTAATGTGCCAGGGGATCAGCTGCATGGCTCGGGCAGACAACGGTAACTAACTCAAACCCAAAATGCAGAATGCAGCTAACTGGTGGTTAGTAACTGAGAACCTGATTGGTAGCAAAAATGAATAAATTCTTAAGACTTTGGCTCTGGAGGCCCAATTTGTTCCGAGATTTGAGTTTATTTGGAAAACCCTAAATCTGTCATTGGTTACAAAGACCATAATGCCATCCAAAGAAGCCAAGTTTGTCAGCTGTATTATTTTTCCATTTTTCAAATTATCTAGTGCTTCAGCCATTCCTATGATTCATTATCTTATGTCTAGCAGTAGTGACCCTCTTAAGAAAAATAGCAAGCTCTCATCCTTCAAAATAAAGTAGACATGTGCCTTATTTTCTTGTCAAGGGAAATAACTACTTCTGCAAGTTTACAATCTTCTGTTCCTTATTTTATTTCCCCAAGTTGTCATTTCACATATATTCTGCAACAACAGTAACACTTTCTCACAAAGAATTCATGGGCTGGAGGACAAGTTGCAAATAATATTACTCAGTGAAGTCATAAAACACTAAGATGGCTCAAGAATACTACACAGAAGTAAAATACGTTACAGTATTCTATTATTAAACAGCAGCTAAATAGTCTAGATGCAGTCAGCCTTCTGAAATATAAAGGTATACCACACAAAGTGTACATCTGGATCTTATAAAATGAAATGACTTTCGAGCCTGATGTAAAAAGAAAGATTTAAAACTAAAGTGGCATTGAGGACTTAACGCAGCAGCATAAGCACTTGGCTGGCAAATGTGAGGTCATGAGTTCGATCCCCAGTACCCCCCCCCCCAAAAAAAGTAAATCGGCATGCCCAACTAACAGTAGCGATTATTACTTGAAAACAAAAGTACAATCCTGGGATGCAGCTCAGCTGTAGAGAGACTGCCTAGCAGCCACGAGGCTCTGGGTTTCCAGCCCAGCACTGTGAAAACAAGAAATTCAAATGTAGGCATGAGACAATCATAGGAGTCATTTCGATTCACTTTTTTAAATGTCTTTTTGAGACAGGCTGTTACAATGCAGTTCAGGCTGGTTTTGGGCTCACTCTGTAGCCCAATCTGGTCTTAAACTCAGTGATTCTCCTGCCTCAGCCTCCCAAGTGCTAGGATTACAGGTGTGCATCTATAGTGCCTGGCTTTCAATTTATTCTTAATTGACCTTTCTAACCACAAATGCATTAAGACTCCAAAATCTTTCTTCAAACCTCTTCCTTCAAAGAAATGTGTAGGAGGCTGGGGATTTAGCTCAGTGGCATAAGCACTTGCCTTACAAGCAGGTGGCCATGAGTTCAATCCCCAGTACCGATAAAAAAAAAAAAAAAACAATGTGTAACAGCTATTCCATCATATTGTCTGGATAGATGCTTCTTAATGGAACTATAATGCAAGCTACAATACCTTATTTTCAGGCACAGTGGGAAACATTCTGCCCTGAGCTATGCCTATAGTCTCAGTATAAAATCCTAAATAGACTTTTTACCTTCTCTTTTCTTATTAAGTCTTTGAAATCTAGTATTTTATACTGATTATCCTCTTAATTAGGACTAACCACTTTTACTGCTGATGGCCACGTGTACCTAGTGGCTCCCACTCTGAGCAGCATAGGTCTGAATAGTCACTAAGTTAAATATAGCACCATTCAAAACTGGAGTAAATGACCCAGTCCCAAAGAATAACTTTATTTCCCTAATTTAGAACTTCTCCAGGTTTGCTATGTCCCCTGTCTTCTCAAAGAGACTAATCAGTTTTTCTTTCCCAGCAATCTTTTTGCAGGATTAGCTTTTCTTCATGACTTTAAATAACATACTGCAACATACTGAACGCAGAAATATATATGAAAACCCAGCTGCCTGGTTAAACCAGACAGCAGAGATGCAGAAGTGTAACACAATGCTAGTCAGAGTAATTTTTTGTTTATTTCATAAGCTAGTCTTCACTGTAACTTTCTGAAGGCAGCTCTGTCCTCTACTAGCTACTTCTGGTTTCACGCCTTTTGTCTGTGTCCTTTTTATGTCATTTTATATTTTTCTCCTGATAGTCTTGTAATATTACTGTATATTTAAATAAATCTCAACACTTGTTTTAATTTCAAGTATCAATAGGTACAGCTTATATAAACTCCAGTAAAAATCTTGACCAAAAATTTGAGAATCACTACTCTAATTTAGTACTAAAGTACTTCTGGAAACAAGAGAAGGAAAAGAAACCAAAATCTTAGCATTTTCATAATCTTCTAAATTCCACAAAATGGATCCTTTTATCAATAATCTTAATTTTGGGGGCTGGGGATTTAGCTCAGCGGCATAAGCGCCTGCCTTGCAAGCAGGCAGTCCTGAGTTCGATCCCTGGTACCGATAAAAACAAAAAAGACAAAAAAAAAAAAATCTTAATTTTGTAACTGGATATACACAAAGAAAGAAATTCATCATGTATCAGTCACATATGAGAATTAGTATCAAGGCAATTTGTTCAATTTAACTATAATTCTGCACACAAACCCTTCAAATTAATAACCAAGGGCTAAACTGGGTACAGCAGCTTACTTAAAACACTACAGTTAATGACTTTGTAATTAACTCTGAGGCTAATCATTCTACAAAGGTGTTTTTCAATTTCTTCAGAAGACACAAATGAGTTCCCATAAGGAAGACTGACTGTATTTTGTCAGTACTTTCCAAACTTAAAGTAATTCAAATATTAATCAATCCTTCAGCAATAAATGCAATCATTGTATAGTATTTATGTAAGGAACATACTGCTCTCCAAGCTTTGTCTCCAAGCTCCCCCAGCAGAAATTAAGACGATCACATTATTCCAATTTTGAAAGGAACATAAAGGGAGTTAACTGCTGAGGGTAGAACGCAATCACAGAAAAGAGAAAATATTGTGCCCAAATCCTGGAGTCCTGCTGCTTTTAATCCAGACCAATAAAAAAAACTGTGAGTGATGGGAGCGCAGAGGAAGAGAATTACAGTGAAAATGCAAATTCTAGCCTAGCCTAGCATACCTAGGACACTGGCAATGGGCCCGAGGAGGAGTAAACCGTTAGCTGTAGATTAACTCCCAAGTGCCAATTTACATTTTAAAGAAGCACAAAGAAACAAACATTCTGTAACAGATTATACCCTGAAAGAAATAATAAAGTATATACCGGCTAGTGGGATTTCAAAACTTTTAGGTAATATGTGCGTAACTTACCAAAAACATAAACGATTCCATTGTGTTAACCAAAGTGCAAACACTTGATTTTTTAAAAACGCTTAATGAAATGCTAAACAAGGTAACATAATATCTTTTGAAAACTTACTTCTCATATTAACATCTATAGGATTTACGCTGGCAGCATGGACTTTTATAATAACTTCATTTGGATAATGTATGATAGGTAACATCATGTTCTGATTGAATCGAAGAACTTCATTCTTCCCGTATTTATCTATCACCCACGCAGGCATGATCGTGCTCCTTGGAGAGGTAGTACTAATCTTCCTGGCCGAAGGCTTCTGCATAACTTTGCTTCTCCAGAAGCAAGCCGCAGTACATGCATTTCTTCTAAGTGCACAAGCCTTCAAGACCTCCATCGTGAAAAGTGGTTCAACAGCGCTCTTCGAGAAAACGCACTTAGATGGGTCAAATGTTCACCCCTGAATACAATCAAACTAACCAGCACACTAGCCAATTTCAAAATTAAGCATTCAAAAGTGAAGTTAACGTAATGGAGCAACAATATAAAATTGTTAGTCCGTTCTTCGTAATAGTTATTAACTTTAGTCAGTATTTGTCCATTCTCCTCCCTACCTTACCCCCTCCCTCTTTAAAAAATACCAAAAGGAAAAGGTGACTGTGCGCCTCTCCTGCCCCCCAATCCCTGTCCTGGGAGCCCTCGGCACGATAAGTAGCCCCGTCTCCGGAGCCTGCCGCCAAGCAGAATCAAATGCTTCCAAATTCCCACTGCGACCCTACCCTGGAGTCTCCTTACTAGCCAGATCTTCTCTACAGGATGAGGCTCTGCGACGCCAGCCAATCGCATGCGAGGATGGTGTCCTCAGACCGCAATTCGGCCAATCCAAAGGCTCCGTGTTGAAAGGTCTAGTGACGATCAAAGATGGCTGCTCCCAGTAGTGCCGGCAGCTCCTGTTGACCTTTTTCTTGCTTGCCACGTGATGCGTGGAGTAGCAGGCTGAACCCGAAACCATGTTGGGCCGGACCCTCCGAGAAGTGAGTGGAACTGACCTGATGGGGGATTCCGGAGGGCGGGAAGTCTGCAGGTTTCACCACGCATCTTGGTCAGCCTAGATGCCGCTTACTTTGCATGGGACGGGATCCAGGCCTTCCGACGTTGAGGCCGGGGTCCCCACGGCCACTCGGGAGTAAGGATCTCAGCGGGGGAGATCTCCGCACTGCGGAGCTGCGGGCTGACGTGAACGTTTGATCAGGCTTCGGTCGAGATCGGGAAGGTCGTTTAGGCTGTGCTTTGCCTGAGTAGATTTTAGTCTGAATCTTTTTTATCCCAGCCGATGGGCACAGTGAATTTGCAATAAAATTCAAACAAATGCTGTTTTCTTTTTCTTTTTTTTTAATTATCTACCAGGCACCTATAATTCCCCTATTTCTTGGACATCACTTAAGACTAAGACTGTACTTCTGAGTGTCTCATGGACATTTCTTTCGAAGGTCCTGTAAGCGTTCACTTTAGCCAACGGTGAAGTCATTATTTTAAAAACCAACCTGCTTCTCAGCATTCATCTTCAAAACAAGAAACCCTTCTGAATTTTAATACAGACTTTAATAGCGCAGATATAATCCTATTGAGCCTTCCATTCTTTTTCATCGCTCATGTCCAGTAAAGCAGCACGCTCTGTGAATTTCTTAAACTAGCTAGAATTTGTTCTCTCATCTTATTCCTGTTATTACGGTTTTAATTTGGGTTTTTTCCACTTTGCTCAACTTTTGGTACTGCGCTAGCCCATTGCTGTCAGAATCACCTTAGGCTGTTGCTTAAGCTACAACTGGTTAGAACTCTTAAACTTAGAGCTGTGTGGTAAGACCAAGGGTAAATGGCTTAATGGGTCTGCAGGTGATTTTTCTGATGCTTAGCAGGGGTTAAGGACCTGTTCTGCCTTCTGCCTTTTGTATTTCCACTGGAGAAGTCTTTTCATTTTTACTGGCTTCCTTTCAGAAAGCTCGAAATTATGAGACCTTTTAAATCCACTGGCTTTAAACAATAAATATTTCTTCTCCAAAATTATTGTTTTACCATCTTAAATTGCTCCTGGCTTTAGTACTGTTAATGACAAGTCGAACTTGTTAACAAAAAACCAAACCATTTTAAACTACAACCTATGAAAAATATTTTGCATTTCTACCCTTCCTCCAGTGAGCATCTTTTTTTTTTGCTGCCCCTTTCTGATGTTGAGTGAACCACTCACTGTTGGAAACACTTTTTGCCTCCTGGGGAAGGAAAGAGCCATTTGGGGGAGCTGATTGCAAGAAGGACAGAGCTTGCTTTGTGGCATAAGTCCATTCACTTACCCACCCCTTTAACCAATATTTACTAATGCCTGCTGTGTGCAAAAAATTACTGTGGTGTTTTTGTCCTCAACAGGTATCTTCTGTCACTGTTATTTTTTCCACATCAGTGTATTGATACTCTGAATTCTACCAGGTAGAAAATTTGTATTAATTCAGTACACATTCTTTTTAAAACAGGTACAGATCTTGAAGGGGTGAGATAATCGTTTTAAGAAAAAGGCCTGAGGGGAAGGCGCTGCAAACAACATCTAAGCCAATTTGAGGGGCATAAGCAGAGGCTTAGGACAAAAGAGGAGCACTGGGTAGAAAAAGGAGGCAAAATGCCAAATAGGTAGAATTGTTACTTGTAAATTTTACCCAGCTCTTTTCAAGGAAGTGTCTCAATTACGTTCTCAGTACTGGGACAAAATACCTGACATCCACAGGTTACCGGAGGAAAGGTTTATTTTAGTTCACAGTTTGTAGAGATTTCAGTCTACAAAGCAAGATGGCGTGGCCGAGGAGAAACAGCTCATGGCAAGCAGAAAGGAGGCAGCGAGGGGCTTCCTTTCCTTTTTTATACCTTGTAGGCCACAAGTGTATTGCTTGGTGCCACCCACACCCAGGAACCTTCCCTTAGCCACACCCAGAACTGTGCTAAACCAACCAGTGAACCGGTCCATTTGTGACACCCACAAATCCAGTATTGCACGCCCATGACCAGCCACTTTCCAGAAGTCCCACCTGTTAGCACATGAAGCTTTGGGGGGACATCTAGATGTACTGTGTTTCCCTGAAAAGAACCTAACAAAAATAAACTTCAGCTGTAAATAGTAACTGGTCGTTACATGCTGATGGCCAGTCTCAGCAGATTATATAGTACCTCACTATTCTGTTGCTCCTTGGCTGCTCTAAGGGCAAAGATGCGTTGTTCTCTAGTTAGTCTTGTTTGGGGGAAGTACTCTGAACCACAACTGTGAGGTAAAAGAGTCTGTCTCACTTTTACCTTTCTCTTGTAGCATGATGCCAGTGTTTTCAGAAGTGAGATATCCAGGTGATACTAATTCACGAGTTTAACAAGTAATCAGTTGGTTTCATAAGAAGTCTTGATTATTTTTATAGAGAAATAAGTCCCAAGTTTTAAACTCAATTATTCATTCAGCTAACATTCATTGATTTGTTTTTGCTGTTTGAGCTTGAGTCTTGCTGTATAATTCAGGCTGATCTTGAATTCACTGTGTAACCCAGACTGGCCTCAAACTTGTGGCAGTTTTGCCTCATTCTCCCAAAGTGCTGGTATTGAAGCTGTGTATCACACCTGGCAACTAATGTTAATTGAATACCTCTGTTGTAGGCTCTGAGGATTAGCACTGAGGACAAACTCCTGCTCTCACTTTTTTGGTTTATTTTTGGTAAGAAAGCAGTCATTAAATAAGCTAAATGATGAAAAAAGATAAATAGGACCGGGGGTGTAGCTCAGTGGCACAGCACCTGCCTGGCAAGCGCAAGGTCCTGAGTTCAATTCCAGGTACTAAAATTTTAAAAAATACATTAACAGACTAGCATTAATTTCAGGTAGCATAAGTACCATGAAGAGAAATTAAGCAAGCCATAGACTAGCACTGCAGGTAGAGGGAACAATAACAAACACCAAGAAGCAAGAGCAAGCTTGACAGGTTTAAAGAATGCACAAAGGCTGGGGTGCAGAGAGAGAGGCAAGTGAGGGGGTAGCAGAAATTAGAGAAGCAGGTACCAGCTCACAGAGAGCCTAGTCAAAGATTTTATCTCAGGTGAGTAAAGCCTCTGGAACATTTCGAGTCTTTGAATTTATAGGAGACCTGGCCAGGATTCCCTATTGCCTGTATAAGGGGAACAGGGAAAGGATGAAATAAGAAATAGGCAAATTTAGTAACACGTGATCAGGGAGCCAGGAGGTCAGTGCCTCGGGATGGGCAGAGATAAAGACAGTCTTGAGCTGGCCACCATTTATTGGGTATGCACAAGAAGGAAGGGATTATCAGGTGACTCGGGTGGTTTTTTGCTAATGAGGATCTTTGTGTTGATGAGCTTGGTGGCAGAAGTTGGCAGGCTAAGGAGTTTGTCGTTTCCCCAAGGTGAAACTTTTACTGCTACTGTGTTGTCTAGGAACCAGCATGTGCTCAGTTGATGCAGTCTTGCTCTGGGGCATCATAGCATCCTGGAAGCTCTATGCCTCAACTGTGACCCAAGGGACAAGGAATTGTGTTCCCCCGCCATAGCCAGCCCGCAGGGCAAGGTACTCACTCGGTCTTGGACTAGCATTAATCACAATTTAATTATGAAATGATTTTTCCCCAACAATTAAATAGAATGGTCCTCGACCGGGCGGCTTTAATTTAAAATTGTTAACACTCTTTCAGGGGACTTGGAAGGACTAAGATCTAAAGAGCAGGCGACTTGTTAAAGGCTGCTGCGTTTATAGGAGACAGTGGGACCGGGCAGGAGGGCAGCAGAAGTATTGTTTTTTGAGTGAGGGCCTGGGGATGGGTTGGATAGGAATCAAGGAAAGTAGGTTTTGACCAGTGACCCTGGGAAATTGATTACATTTATTAATCCTGGAAAGACTGTAAAAGGGGACTTGTTTAGAGGGGGGAGGTTCTCTAGAATTCCTTCCTTTTTTTTTTTTTTGCTATATATATTCTTTTTACTTGAAGGATTACTCAATGAATTTTTAAGTATAAAAAATGCAACAATATTAAATGTTGTAAAATGCATGTATCTATATTAATTTACAACCATAAAACTACTGCTGGGGCACAATTATAATGTAAGAACACATTTATAAAAGAGCAAACTTGGAGGTCTTTCATGAGCAATTAGAGGTCTCTGACCAAGCTTCTGCTGAATTGAATTGATCTTGACAGTCTAAAGCCAGCTGCAGACCTCTAATAAGCACTAAGTCAGCGTAACTGTCCATACCTTAGGGTACCTACCCTGGGCTAGTCAGGGACCCCATTCACTGCTCACTCCGTAAGAGCCCCGCCTCTTGCTTCTGTGCTGTGCTCACCCTGTAAGGGCCCGCCTTCCTGTTCCAGGAATGTTCCTGTATTATGATGAACAGTTTCTTTGTTTCAACAAATATGTTTAAGACTGGCCTGCCTGTCAATATATGACTCAATGCATATAACCAATTATGTAACATTTTGTCACTTGCTTTGTACTGCTTCTAAATTCTATATAAACTAACCTCTGTAAACTCAGGGCTGTCGCCTTTGGGAACTGTCCAGTCCAGCAACAATCCACAATGTAAAGATTAAATGTTGCCTTCTTATCCCCCCTCCTGGGTGGGAAGAGCCTTTCAGTCCGCTTGGAAGTTTACTGTAACACTACCATCCACATCAAGATACTGAACAAAAATCTCTCATATGAATGCCACATAGTTTCTTAAATGTGAAACATCTTATAGTAGCCTTATTTCTGCCTAATAAAAATATTGCTGTCCATTCTTACAACCTAAAGAGTTTCTGTTACCTTTAACCCCATTTAACCAAACTCTTACTTTTTTTTTTTTTTGACACGTTTTCTTGGATTCTTATTCTTTTCAATCCCAGAAATTTAGAATGTATAGCTTCTATTTTTGTCAACAATGCAATGACAAATTAACTTACATGAACTGCCACTGATGTAATAATTACTGGTTTTCTCAGCTCAGTATTTTAAATATATCC